TATTTAGTCTCTGCACAAAAATCTTGATATACATTCTTCCAATATTTCTGGTTTTGCTATAAGGGTATCTCTTCACTGTGCTTCTGGATTTTCTGATTTGGTTTGTTGCTAGTCACATATGGATGCACAGGGTTTCAGATTTGAACATGCTGTAGTTTAGTTTACTTTGTCGCTGCACCTTGTACAACGAAATTAAATACCATCTTCAATGTACATTATGACTATGAAAATAAACACAAACACACATCCTTCACATTCTATACATTGAACTGAAAATCCCTGATATTGCATTAATATTGCACTATACAGTAGAATTTAATAGAGTAAGAGTTACTGCCCTGGGATAGAAGCTGTTTTCAGCCTATTTGTCCTTGTTTTTATTATCCTGTACGTCTGCCAGATGGTAATAGTTCAAAAAAAGGGTGCCCAGGATGAGATGGATCTTTGAGAATGTTTTGAACTTTCTTAAGGCAGCGGGAGCTATAAAGCTCTTCCAAAGCTCTTCCATTGCCCAATGATCTTCTGGCCAATGACATTAACCCTCTGGCATGCTGTCCTATCTGCCACTGTGCAATTGGCAAACCATACACAGGTGCAGTAAGTTAAGATACTTCCTATGGTGCAGCAGTTCATTCAGTTGTTTTCTGAGAAGTCTCAGGTAGTATAATCTTTGCTGGGCCTTTTTGACCAGTGCTGCAATGTGAGCACTCCAGGTTAGGTCCCCTTTTATGGTAACACCCCGAAACTTAAAGCTGGCCACTTGCTCCACTCGGTCTCCATTGATAAGCAAGGGCTGGATGTCAGATCTGTTCCTTCTATAGTCCACTATAAGCTCCTTAGACTTATTGGTGTTGAGGACCAAGTTATTGTCTCCACACCACGAAAGCAACCGGTCCATCTCCTCTCGGTAGGCAGACTCATCCCTCCCGGAGATAAGTCCCACCACTGTTGTATCATCTGCAAATTTAGCAATAGTATTACTAGTGTGGGTGGGAATGCAGTCATGCACATAAAGAGTATAGTGTAACAGACTCAACACGCAACTCTGTGGTGTACCAGTGCTAAAAAAGGCGGAAGAGGTATCTCAGCTTATAGTACCTTGATTTAATCAAGGGATTTATATTCAATAAAAATACGCATTTCACTCTCAAATTTCCAAAGTCTCTCCAGACATTACATCATTAAATATAAATTGATACAAGTGATACAAATTATATTATCTGAATAATTATGGAAATGACATAAATTGATATTACTGTAATGGCATGCTTTTAGATTCAGCAGACATTTAGGTTTACAAATACCTCCTTCCCCTCCCCCCCCAAATGATCCATTAATTCAAGTTTTACTATAGATAAATTATGGCATAAAAATTATACTATTCCAGCTGGAAAAGATTTCTGAAATGTGAAAGCAGGCTCAGATGCTACCCTGCCCATGTTCCAAAACACCCTGCAGACAAGAAATTAAGCAATGTGATTTTTCACAATTGCATCTGAAGAAAAAATGACATGATAGAATATTGGAAGTGAGAAGGAAAGTGCATGTATGTACAGGTGAAACTCAAAAAATTAGAATATCGTGCAAAAGTTCATTTATTTCAGTAATGCAACTTAAAAGGTGAAACTAATATATGAGATAGGCTCATTACATGCAAAGCAAGATAGTTCAAGCTGTGATTTGTCATAATTGAGATGATTATGGCTTACAGCTCATGGAAACCCCAAATCCACAATCTCAGAAAATTAGAATATTACATGCAATCAATAAAACAAGGATTGTACATAGAACAATACTGGACCTCTGAAAAGTATAAGCATGCATATGGACTCAGTACTTGGTTTGGGCCCCTTTTGTAACAATTACTGCCTCAGTGTGGCGTGGCATGGAAGCTATCAGCCTGTGGCACTGCTGAAGTGTTATGGAAGACCAGGATGCTTCAATAGCAGCCTTCAGCTCTTCTGCATTGTTCGGTCTCATGTCTCTCATCTTTCTCTTGGCAATGCCCCATAGATTCTCTATGGGGTTCAGGTCAGGCGAGTTTGCTGGCCAATCAAGCACAGTAATCCCACGGTCATTGAACTAGGTTTTGGTGCTTTTGGCAGTGTGGGCAGGTGCCAAGTCCTACTGGAAAATGAAGTCAGCATCCCCATAAAGCTCATCTGCGTAAGGAAGCATGAAGTGCTCCAAAATCTCCTGGTAGATGGCTGTTGACCCTGCACTTAATGAAGCACAGTGGACCAACACCAGCAGATGACATGGCTCCCCAAATCAACACAAACTGTGGAAACTTCACACTGGACTTCAAGCATCTTGCAGTGTGTGCCTCTCCATTCTTCTTCCAGACTCTGGGTTCTTGGTTTCCAAATCAGATGCAAAAGTTGCTCTCATCAGAAAAGAGGATAGGTCTGTTTTTCTTTAGCCCAGGTAAGATGCTTCTGATGTTGTTTGTTGTTCAGGAGCGGCTTGACAAGAGGAATCCGACATTTGAAGCCCATGTCCAGGATCTATCTGTGTGTGGTGGCTCTTGATGCACTGACTCCAGCCTCAGTCCACTCCTTGTGAAAGTCCCCAACACTTTTGAATGGCCTTTTCCTGATAATCCTCTCCAGGCTGTGGTCATCCCTGTTGCTTGTGTACCTTTTTCTTCCACACTTTTCCCTTCCACATAACTTTCTATTAGTGTGCTTTGACACAGCATTTTGGGAACATCCAACTTCTTTTGCAATTACCTTTTGAGGCTTTCCTTCTTTATGGAGGGTGTCAATGATGGTTTTCTGCACAACTGTCAGGTCAGCAGTCTTTCCCATGATTGTGATTCCTATTGAACCAGACTGAGAGACCATTTAAAGGCTCAGGAACCCTTTGCAGGTGTTATGGCTTAATTAGCTGATTAGAGTGGGACACTTTGAGCCTAGAAAATTGAACCTTTTCACAATATTCTAATTTTCTGAGATTGTGGATTTGGGGTTTTCATGAGCTGTAAACCATAATCATCTCAATTATGACACATCACGGTTTGCACTATCTTGCTTTGCATGTAATGAGCCTATCTCATATATTAGTTTCACCTTTTAAGTTGCATTACTGAAATAAATGAACTTTTGCACGATATTCTAATTTTTCGAGTTTCACCTATAGTATTGCATACAGTGAACAACCAGGAAGGTTAATAGAAGCCTAAAAAAGAAATAAAATCTTCCTAATATATTTTCACATTCTTACCGCCCTAAATACCCGATTTTTAAACCCATGCACCTACCCTTCGCACGCGCCCCCAAACTGCGTCCGAGGTAAACTTTGCTGCATTGTACTAGGTTTAATGTCTCGTGTCAATCTGCAAGGCTGCAATTGCCAAACCATAATAAAAGCAATTGTAATAAAACCGCACTTCAAGCCAGCCTGTTTATATTCAGACATTTCTTTCTCTCAGTCTAGCGCTTCTGAAAGACGATACGACTGGGGGAGGTGCGTGGGTTGGGTGTGCGTGAGATAATATAGCGATACAACGACTCGAGCCAAATTCAACCGCGGGCTGACGAAAACCTGCACCTGAACATACCAACCGAGCTGAGCGCCGCGGGCGCTAGTACGCGAGCGCACTCGGGCGCTCTTAGAAAAAAAACTAAAACCCAACTGTTGATGGTTACCGAGGAAACGGCGTTGCTTAGTTACCCGTGGTAGCGGATCCGTTCGTAGCCAAGGCCTTAGCTGCTCGACCGACCATCATGAGCCTTCAGCCGGTGCAAGGCTTGCCGCTTGTTCCGGGCTCGTCCTTTCGGGACCCGACGGTGAGGAAGATCTCCCTTTCTCTTTCCACATCACATTTTCTCCGGAATAACTAGCTGGGTGGCCATTAGACACAGCGTCTCCCCTGAGTCTTGCGGACTTGGTCAGAGACTCCGATCGACGCGATCCTTCAAGAGTGAGATACTTCGTAAATAATCCCACCTTCCTGTCACTGAACTCTAGATCTTGAAAATGTAGCTTTACGGTCTCTAAAAGCGCTTTCAAGCCATTTTGTAGCCATCTGTATTTTAAAAAGTCGAATCTGGTAGCCCCAAGTGTGAAAGATTTCTTAACAAAAGTTACAGAAGGGAATAAAAATTTAAGAGAAAAACATCGAATAGCCTGCTTCCTTTTCAGCTCTTACTACTAAATATTAAAATGATTGAATGTTAGTGAATATTTTAATCAATATCACTTTAGATGTCATCTTATACAATCTCATACACCTCACCAATAAAGGAGAATATTTGTAGCTCAGGATTGAAATGAGGGGTCCTTGGTGCTCTCTGTGCTTGCTTGTTTTCTTGCAGATGTCTATGGAGATTCTCCGTCATCCAGGTCATGATTGTCTCAAAGGCGCTTTTTTTCCTTTTTTTTTCTTTACAAGAGGCAACTGGAGTTTTTGGTTTTTCTTTGAAGATGCTTTGCTTCTCATCCAAGAAGGTTCTTCAACTCTATTTTCTTTTCTTGCAGACATTTCATTATGTTGGGACTGATGATGTTACCTAGTTTGGGTAGTGAAATATCTGTAAGAAAACAACCAATCTCATAAAACACCAAGGAGCCCTCATGCATCTCTTTAAAATTTACATCAATATATTAAATGTAGACTAGGAGTATTATTAAATAATATTATTAAAACATATTTTACTTAAATATTTCTTTTATTTTTATTTGTTTAAATGTAGTTAGTCCTCATTAATGTTTGAAACTGGGTGGTCCTGAAGAGTTTAAAACTGTCCTAGAGGTTGTGAACTATTATTATTAAAATATAATTACATAGTTTTTGAGAAAATAATTACCTTAGTGTATTTTTAAAATTGTTACTATATGGGAGGATCATAAATGAAATTTGGCTCCAAAGACAAATATATTTGAGACAAGGTAATTGAAAAATAAACATTATTTAAAATACATCAGTCTAGACAGCATTTGAATCTGTATTTTTGTTGTTCTGTAGAAAACTGCTTTTCATCGTTCCCAAACTCTAGATTTCAAGAATGGTTTTGCCTTTAAGAAACTTCCAACTGTGGGGATAGGTGGAAATCGGCTTCATGTAAACCAGTTGTCTCAAGCTGAACTTGATGAATTATCTAACAAGAGACCCACCTTAACTTATGGTGAACCTAAACAAGCCCCACCTTCAGATTTCATCCCAGCACACGTGGCTTTTGACAAAAAGGTATTTTCTCAAACATCTGCTTTCAGGTACAGGTATTTATTGCAAAATTAAAAAGAAAAATATTGCTATGTGTCTCTTGAATCACAAAGAATTATATTCTAAATATAAAACGTACTTACCGGTATTCTATTTTGGATAAGTGTTAAGTTTAGCTATTTATTTCTGATATCTATTTGTCAGCCCATGAAAGTAGTCCATATCAAGAAACAAACTTTTAAAAGACTGCTGGGCCTCTCTGATTTGCAGGTAATACTCATAACTTCTTGAAAGACTGTCAGAGTTCTTTCTTCCCTTTTTATAATATACAGAATTGAAAATGTCTTTCTCAGACTCACTTCTTTTTAATGCATTAATAGAAAATGACAATAAATATCTTGCTTTCCTTCACCATCATAATGCATTAATCATAATCATAATCATAATCAATAATCATAATCATAATCATCAATAGTTTATTTACATATTTTAAGACATGTAGTGTAGAGCCAGGTTCAAGTACACCCTTTTCCTTGCAGCACATCTCTGGGCCAGTCATTCAGTTTAGCCTACTTCATAGAGACAGAATGGATCAGCATATGAATGACCTCCAAGTTATACTTTGCAGGGGCGCGGGGCAGGGGGAATTGTAGGCAGCTTTCATTCTACAAAAATAAATGTCACAGTACAGAATTTAATATAACCCTGTGGAAAGAGACTTTGGCTTCTATATTTAAAGTGATAATAAAGTTATTCTAAATCTAAGTCCAGCATAAACACTCTTGTAGAAAACTAAACCATTTTATGTTGGTTGTATTCTTGTCAGTAAAAAGTTACATATATTTATAGCTATATCTTCCACAATTGTACCATCATAGGATACAAAAGAAAATTTGCCATAGTAATAGTTTGCCATTGCTATTAGCTTGGTGCTAAATAGAAATTCCCCACCTTCCATGAAGACAGCCCAGCTTTTTGTAAACTTAATAGAATATGCAGTAATAGATTTCTATCACTTGATGATCTCACACAACAAAGTCAAGTGGGTTTCCTGTCATTTTTATATTAATATAATTTTCCTTATATAGGCTGGTTGTTTTTTATTTTTTATTTTGCTAGGTGCTCAAATTTGATGGATACTTTCAGGAAGATGTTCCTATGTCTACAGAAGAGCATTTCCGCATTCGTCAAGTGGGCATTTATTACTATTTGGAAGATGATAGCATGTCTGTCATGGAGCCCATTGTTGAAAACTCAGGGATTCCTCAGGGCAAGTTCATCAAAAGACAGCGCTTGCCCAAAAATGATCGCGGGGATCATTATCATTGGAAAGATCTGAATCGAGGAATTAATATTACTATCTATGGCAAGACTTTCCGGATAGTTGACTGTGATCGATTCACCCAGGTACTATAATCTTGCTAATCTACAACATTACAGTAGTAAACTATTCCTATTGCAATACTAAATATGGGGATAAAATAGAGTTTTAATTCTACAGTAAAATATACAATTTGGAGACAGAAATTTCCACCATAAGTAGCATCATGTATATGTGATTTGTTTTTAGAATTATGAAACATATTTTTACCCATGCTACATTATCAGTTGAGTTCTCATAATGATTATCTTTTATTCTTGTGCACTTGTATAGTTCATAAATAGTTTTAGTTTTAAAAACAGTAGTTTTAGTAACATTTCATTTACATTTGATTGATATCTCTGTCTGTCTGATTCTGTCTGTCTGTCCCTTTCTCTAGCTCTTGATAATATCAGAGGTCTGTTTTGAGAATAAAAATAATGGGATCTCTCAAAAGGAGCTTAAATGTCAGTTCATTCATAGAGTAGCATTTTACTCAGTTTTACTAAGATTAATAAATAAAGCCATGGCAGATAATGCAGTGCAGTTTTTTGCAAGTTCTAAAGTTTCTTGCCTTATTTCCGTAACATCGGAAGACATTTTTATATGCCCCCCACAGATTGCAGTTTCAAATGCAACTTTAAGGCAGTCTTGTTTATGATTTCTTACTGTGCTTATTTGAATATTAACAATGTGTTTACTGCTTTATAGACTTTTCTGGAAAGCCAAGGAATTGAACTGAACCCTCCAGAGCGAATGATTTTTGATCCTTATATAGAGCTACGTAAAATGCCTCCACGTATGTATGTCACCCCCTCAGATTTTGATCAACTTAAGCAGTTTTTGGCATTTGACAAAAAGGTGAGCTTTAAGTTTGTTTCATATTACACATAATTTACTTTTTTGTGTATTCAAAACAGTTTAAGCGCCCCCCCCGAGCGCCCCCCTGAGGAAATAAATAAAATGACAGTATATGAAACTCTGAAAAAGTAGTAGTAGGTACAATTTTAAAACGTACTTAAAATGGAAGAAAATTAAACTATAGGGCCTATCTCTGCATATATTTAGAGTATGCAAGAGGATCTGCTAAGAAGCACAGTTGTGAAACTCTGAGAGCCTCTTTGTCATGATAGTAAAGCTATGTAATTGCTAAATGAGTTTTCTGCTTTTCACCCTTAAAAGATAGTAAAGCTATTTTTGTTGAGGTTTTCAAGTCATTTTACTTGTAGTAAAATTTTATAAATAGTAAAATTACAAATAGTTTTCATTTAACGGCAATTGGAACTGAAGTTTCTGTTGCTAAATGAGATCAAGTGCAATGTCACATGATTGTGCCATTTAGAAACAGGAATTTCAGGTCTCACTGATGCCATTATTAAGCAGATCACTGTAGGTTAAGCGAGGACATTACATGGTTGCCTTTTGTGACCTTCTGCTGACTTCCCCACTGACTTTACTTGTAAGAAGGCGGCAAAGGTCACAAACTGGGATGCTGCAGCGTAATTGCAAACCAGGTATCAAGCCTCCAGTTTATGATCACATAACTGTAGGGATGCAATGCTGTCCATAAGTATGAGGATTGGTCATACCTACCACTCATTCAGTGCTATCATAAAGTTTGAATTGTCACCGAACAAATGCTTGTTAAATGAGGATCATCTGTATTCATTTGTCTCCAAAATCATATGAACCTGCAGAGTTGATAGATTTAATCAATGGCTTGCTATTGTATGTTGCTTTTTGTTGAAGTTTCAATGTGACTGTCTTTCTTGTCTTAACTGTAATTGTACGGAAGATACAATTTTGTCCTCTTTATTAAGTTGTGATTCACTTTGAGTGTGAGACCCCATGCTTACAAGAGAAAAGTTTTTATTCTTCCATGATGAGAATGAACCCTTCACATTTATGTTCAGGTTCTTCGTTTTTATGCCATTTGGGATGACACTTGGAACATGTTTGGTGAAAGCCGGAGATTTATTATCCACTACTACTTGGCAGATGACACGGTGGAGGTGCGGGAAGTTCATGAACGAAATGATGGCAGAGATCCTTTCCCAGTCCTGATAAGACGCCAGCGCCTGCCCAAAATTTTTTTGGAGAAGAAAGGTACTAACTTTCTCTGGTTGACAATTCAGATATTTTCTAGGATGATAGCTATATAAATAAAAAGCTTACTGCCTTCAAGATCTTCATACAAATACTTTTAGATATAACATGAATCCATTAACATTTGCTACACAAAGAATACAACATAGGAATCAGCTGTAACAAGATAAGGAATGCATTTGTTTTCAGACAGGCTGATGTACTAAAATTAGTAAAACAAGAGTTCATTTATTCAGTCAGTCAATCAGAGGCATTATTGAAGTACTTATTTCTAATTATACTCTTTTATGAAGTATTGAAATGAACCCATGCTTGCCTTTTCTAAAGTTAATGCAGCTTTTTCAGATACTGGCTAAATGATATTTGGCAATATGTTCTCAGGTGCTATGAAAATTAGGCCCATGATAATAAATAAAACCAATTGTCTTAAAAATGTGACCAAGCCAAGGAAGGACTGCATTTTCCAGTGTCTGAATATGTGTCTTCATTTGGAATAAATAGCAGCAATGGAAATCTTACTAAACTGACTTTTTTTTTGCAAGACAACTTCCCAACCTGTGTGCTGGAGATTTCTGATCAGGAGGTCTTAGAATGGTTTACAGCTAAAGATTTTGCAGTTGGCAAACCCACTACTCTACTTGGACGCACTTTTTTCATCTATGATTGTGATGAGTTTACTCGACAATTCTATAAAGATAAATTTGGCATCACTGACTTCCAGGCAGTTGATGTAAAGAAGCCACTCCCAGAGGAAATCAAACAGGTAAAGGGGAAAAACAAAAAAGAAGCTGCAAAAGTGGCCAGTTTTTAATTAAAGGGCAAGGAAATGGAGGTCAGAACATGGAGGTCAGGACTGAGAAGAAGGACTGACAAGAAGTGGAAATGAGAGTTGCTAGAGAAATTCCAGAAAGCAAATCAGTCTTCATAGACATAAAGAACAGAAGTACTAGGAAGCATCATTTACACTGTCAAAGTATTATTGTTTATTAACTTGCCAATGGATACAAGTTTCAAAATGCACAGTAGAAGGATTAACTTCTTATGGTGACAAAGGCTGTTTTTCAAATGTTATTATTTAGAAGAATGTAGTGGAAGGAAAAACCAGGTAGCAAGTGTCAGATATCAACTCAGCTAGATTATATTTTCTTAAAATTATCCCTTCTCTTCTTTTCAAGTGAAGAATGATTTTTGTTATTTTTTTACCCTCTCCAAATGCAGTTCTTCCCGATGGAAGAGTGATTGGAGATGAACATTTCATTTGTTTCTGCCCTTTAATAAAACTTCCAGATTTATTAGAAATAACTCTACACTTAATTGTTTTGTCAGCAACTAGAGAGCTAAGATGAACACAAACATATTGATGCTATTGCCTAGGAAAAGAATCTCCTAATTATAAACGTAATGGTGTCTTTACCCATCCCGTTTCTGCTTTTACTTCACAAGAGTACAGTAAGGTTTTTTTAAAAAATTTAAAACATAAATTTAAATGTATTTAAATTTACTTTTAAATATTTTTAAAAAAACTTTAAAACATGTCATTTTACAATATTGTGAGTGAAGTGTCCTGGTTCAATATTGTAATTTTTTTTTCTTGGCTTATTTTATTTACAGATAATTCCTCCCTACAATGGTTATGGTTTCCTTGAAGACTCTCTTCAAAACTGTTTCAGTTTGATTCCACAACCCCCTAGGAAAAATATTATTAAAATGCTAGAGAATGATCACAAAATTTTGCGCTATGCTGTTAGAATGGTGAGTTGTCATGATTTACAGTTTTTAGAGTGATAATTGAGTTGGGGAGTAGAAGTTTTTCTTTTAATTTTACCTCCAGAGGTAAAGGTCCAAGGAGTAAAATTTCAGTGTAACAAGAAGTATTCATATATATGAGTTTTTAATTTTAACTCTTGATGACTATGGCAACCTGATGAAATTTCTGAAAGAAGGTCAACAATAATAATAATAATAATATAAACTCTAAACTTTGAAAAATAGAAGCAGATGTAAAAATATATCAGAATAGCCTTTCAATTCAAAGCACTATGGGTACATAGAATCTAATTAAAATTGAGAGTTTTCAAACTAGGGAGTAATGGGAAACACATATCTCTTGATGTATACAGTGGAATTTGCCTTGGCTGGTTGAGGATATCTATTGGGGCTCTACATTTAATTCTCAGCTTAACTAAAGCCCTTTTTGTTGCTTTCATTTCAGAGCATCCAATCATTTTATTACTGCAAGATTGTATTTCAAAAGGTTTACAGTAGTGAGAGCAACTTTCATGTGTATAAAACCAGAAACAAGATAAAAGATAGATGTCCCATCAAAGGAATAAGTTGCCATTAAATACTCAGGTCTGCCACATGATGTAGGAGCTTGATTAAATCATAAATTACACAGGATCCAGCTTTGTGATGCGTCTGTTAAACAGGTTAATGAAGTCTTAAGCTGCATTAATAGAATTATAAAGTCCAGAAAATTGCAGAACAAAATTTGTTTAAATATCGGGAGAAATTTCTTATGACTCAGAGCCATTTAACAGGAAAATAATTTCCCTTTAGGAAATGGTAGAATGGTAGGATCTCCTTCAATGGAGATATTTAAATAGAGGTTAAAGAGGCATCTTCATGGAGAGTGATGTAAATATAATTTGCTTTGAACAGAGATACTTGACTTCTGAGGTCATTACCTGATCTATGATTTGAACAATTTAAATAATAATCCAATTGGCTATTCAGCTGCTTTTTACACAATGGATAAATTCAGTATGACTGGGAATTCTGGGAATTTCAGTACCTTCAAGAAGATATCATGTTGGGAGTAGCCAAACATGAACAAACCCATTAAGCAGAACATATTTTGTAGCTTACATTTGACCTTTAATCTGTCCAGGAATCCACAAACCCTGATGACAGTAAGAGACATTTTGTCCTCTCTTATTGCCTCGCTACTGACATGATAAGCATATATGAACCACCTATGCGCAACTCGGGAATTATTGGTGGCAAATACCTAGGCAAAACCAGAATTGCAAAACCAGGATCTTGTACAGACAATCCTGTTTATTATGAACCTGCTGACTTAACCATAGGCGCTATGATAGAAGGTAAGTAAAAAGATGGAGTGTAAATATTTTAAAAGTGAGTATTTCGGCACATACTCATTCTTCATTCTATATTTTTTGCACAAGAAATGTTTTTTCTCTGTTAGAATTACTCAAAAGAATATAGCATGGAGAATTATTTAATTTGCAGCTAAAATTAGCTAGACAAATTTTCTCCAATTCCCCTTTGCTTTCATTAGGCACTGTTGAACTAATTGAGCCATAAAGTGACATATCTCTTCAGGTTAGTTACAACCTGGATTTTTGGAGAGCGATCTGACTTTGATATCAGATCCCTTGGAACAATAAGATGCCAATTTACTGACAAATAAACAAAGCACTAAGAAATGGCAGAGGTAAAACATATTGCTAGTCCTCTTATAGCTTATTGGTATAGCCTTATACATTTTCCTCAGATCAGAATAGAAATCAAAATATTGATAGAAAGTAACTGCAGTCATGAGGTTCTTGTCCTGTTTGGGCATGTATGGCTAGCTTGTTTCACATTTTCCTTTAACCGCTTTGCAAAACAAAAAATAGATTGTTGAACTATTTTTTTTTAGTTAAAACCTTTTACTTCTTGGACTGTAGGCTTGTTCTTCTAAGAAAATAGCCAGTCATCAATGGCAAGGGTACTTCCTACTTCCATACTACCTTTTCCATTTATAGAGCTTCACGGATTCCATCAATGCAATTCAGTGACATATTGTTACTTTTCAGATATCTATTTTTGATGTTTCCCCTGCGTCACTGAAAAGGTTTTGCTATTGCTAGGCTTAGAGCACTTATTGGGTGCTTTTAAAAATCCCAAAATTTTCAGCTTTGTCCCTTCACCAATGTTGCCACATCACCACCGGTGTTGTTGAGAATTTAAAAGGCTGAAAAAATGTTCACCATCCCCAACTCTGAAAAAGTTGCACAAGTTTAATCTATATTTCTGGTACCGGAAGACGGTCATGATGATGTCTCTTTCATGCAGTGTTTGGCCACAGGTTCATTATTGTGGATGCAGATCACTATGTGTTGAATTATATGGAAAGCAATTTGGAAAGCTTCCCAGCATCTGTCGTACAATCTATGAGAAATCATTTTGCACCCCGTATGGCAGCAATAGAGGAACTAAAGAGGTGAGCACTTGAAGAAAATATCCATAGAAAACGTTCCATACCTAATATTAGTTATGCTGATTCTGCAGCTGTTGGTCTGAGGATGATGGAAGATATTCCCTTTACATGATCAGAGAGAATAAATCAATAGCTCTTATCACTTTACCTTCAAATATCACAAGTAGTCGCAGCTTTCATAAAGAGGAGCTTACACTACAGACCCATTTCCAGTTACCAGAGAATAGTATCAGGAAAGGGCACTTGCTTTCATCCTCCACCAAAGATGCACATGGTTGGCTATTGTGAGTTAAATAATGATGGACATGATCAACTATTCACATTTTCTTTCAAGTTCCTAGGTGAGTTAACTATCCTTGTAGATGATGTTCAATCAGATTGAATAAATCTGAAATAATCAGTATTGAAATGTTTTATTCATGTGACTACTACTTGCATGGAGTGTGAAATAACAGTGTTAATAGCTAGGAAAAAAATTGAATTTTAATTTAAAAAAGATACAGAGGAAAAGAATGGTGACTTACCTGGCAGAGTAAGATCAGGACCTGTTGTTTAGAATCAGATAAATCAGCAACAGTTATGTTTAAATGGTTTATGATTTGTTTTCAGCCACCTAATTAGTAGGCTGATTAAAAATTTAGTAGAATGGTCAGAGTGCATTGGGGGTATTCATTGTCAGTGTAAAATGTGCCTGCATTACTGTGACATAGAATTAAATCTTAAGAATGAGTTTTCTTTTGAACGGCAGATGATAAATTTTGTCCATTTAGTTGCAAGTCCTAATATTTCCACAGGTCTCCAATGCTATCCATATAGAATGTACCTAACCATAGTTACATTAAAAATGCAGGTGATTCATCATAATTTTAGGCAGCCTTTCAAGATGCTTGAGTCTTGAGGACCTTGTATGTAAAAAAAGTTCTTTTCTCCCTCTAGGTTAGCTTCCAATGAGCCTGACCCGCAGGAACTAGCTGTAGTACTGGAGCAGATTCAGGAACACATGAAGCGGCATAATTATTTGCCGGACAGCAGTATGCAGGAAGCTTTCCTTCAACAAGATAAAGATGGCTCAGGGCTTCTGAACAAAACAGAGTTCTTTGCCCTTTGTGATCATTTTAAAATACCAACTGATGACCCAGTTTTCCAAAAGGTAAAAAGTATGAGCTGGTAATCTGTTCTATCTGTAAGCCAAGGCTGATCAACAGTGAGAGTAATGATAGAAATGTTCAAAAGGAAAAATAGCTGTATTTAGGCTTTTAAATTTGGAAATACAGGTAATGGGGTATTAATAGTATATGGAGATACTAGTTTATCTTTTCCTTCCATCATTCTACCAATATGACACAGAGACTGGGATGAATCTAAAATCATTGTGGCTATACACTTGCTTTCATTTCTTTATGATGTTCATCCTCATTTTCAAAGAGGGCCTTGACATCTAACGAGTTACAGCTGTCCACAGTGTTTCCGCAGGTGGCTGTTAAGGCCTATACGAGCATAGAATGTTCTGCCACAATGTCAGGCAGAAATGTGTGGGCCACCATTATTGCAGCATTTGCAGCTCTGGGTTTGTGGAGTGCTCACTTCTCTTGTGCTATGGTTATCCTTCTGTCTTCAAATGTCTGGCAGCCTTGGTGGATCAACATGCGCCATGTTGATCGATCTTGTGCCAGGGTTTCCCAGGAGGTGGTGTCAATATCTAGGGACTTGAGAGAGGCTTTCAGTGAGCCTTTGTATCACTTCCTTTGTCCCCAGTGTGATTGCTTTCCTTAAGACAGCTCACCATAGAGTAGCTGTTTGGTGATGTGGTACTTGCAACATGGCCTGCCCAGCATGTCTGAGCTTTGATCAACAGGGTGTGAACTGATGGCAGGCCTGCTCTGGAGAGGACTTCTGTGTCTGGCACCTTGTCTGCCACTGGATCCTCAGAAGTCTGCGGAGGCAAGTCATGTGGAAGTGGTTCAATTGCCTAGCATGCCTCCTATATACAGTCCAAGCCTCACTGGCATACATCAGGGTAGTAGTTAGCACTACTGCTCGGAAGACTTTGAGCTTTGTAGCAAGGCTTATTCCATGGCAGCCCCACATGTTGGTCAATAGTCTGCCAAATGCAGAGCTTGCCTTGGCAATTCTGCAGTTAACCTCGATGTCAATTGTCATTGCATACACAGAGGCTGCAAGAAACGCATGAGCTGCGGCCACCTTTGGAAGACAAAGCCTGGCCCAGCAATGTGATGCAAAGCCCCAGCAGTCCCAAGGAGCCCCAGCCACCCCAGCTTAAGTGACCCTGTATTCAGAAGCCCCTGGTGCCGCAGCTGAACTTTGCCGTCTTCCTGCTACTGCTGCTGCTGAGCCACGCCTGGCCACTTGAGACCTTCTTGCTCAGGTCTCACAAGGATACTGAAACTTGTGACATTGGGAAAAAGTCACATGTGGCCATCAGCAACAACCTCGCAAAGGCCAGGCACACTAAGTCAGCAGTGAGAGCAATATGGTAAAGTTCAGCTAAGGTGGTGAAGCCCACAGCGGCAAGGGCTGCGGAGTACAGGGAGCCAAAAGGGCAGAAATGGGGAAGATAGGTGGGTGGCAGATGTTAGAGTGTCCCTGCAGTTGTGTGGGTGGACTGCTAAACACCTGAATTTTGATCATGGGTCAAAGGGGGCCCTGCAACAGCCATAACTTCAGAGACTGGATATAAGTACTATTTGTTCAGCACAGCTGTAACTTCAGTCATTGAATAAATCATCATAACTCAAGGACAGTCTGTATTTAACTTAATTTTTCATGTTCATTACAAATCATCTTGTTATTCTTTTTCATTTCAGTTTAAAAGAACATTAATTATCCCTGATTTTTTTCCCTACTTTAATCAGTATTGTTACTTAGATATCAGATTTTATTTGAATAGCAGGCACTTTCTTTGGATTTTGAAATAAGTAATGGATTGGAAAATAAAATTGAAATGTGAGGAGAAAAAATGATAAAAAAGTTATCTGGGTAAAAGTATTATTTCAGTTAATGGAAGGCAGCCAATTGTTTCCTTCTTCCAATAGCATATTATGTCTGCGTTTTCACATACCCCAAGAATCCAGCAATTTAAAAAAAAGTATTACAAAAGGAAACAACCTGTCTTTGTTTTGTTCTACTCTGAAGATTAGAAACAAAAATCTTACTACTGCATATTTATTGTACATGCTCTTAGAGGACATGTGGCAATTTAAAAACATAGCATTTGCAACTTTTCATTGGCTTCTCTCTCTTTTTTACAGCTTATTAAAATGTGTTCTCGTGGAGAAAATCAAATAAGATACCCTGACTTCCTCAAAGCTTTCCAGTATTGATCAAAACTAGCAGTTACCAGCTGTACAAGATCAATTTCGATTAAAAACGCTAATTATTGAAAGCTGCTCTGGTATTCCTTCTTTTTTCTACCATATACTCAAGTTATCATTTTCCAGGTTACTTGAAAAAAACAAGTCTTTCACAGCTCTGATCCTTCTAAGAGTGAGGGTGGTTATCTCAATGCATATAATTATGGGTAGTTCTTATTTTATTGCTTGGGGAGCAAATGACACTTGTGGGATTCTGTAACTATACTTTAAAAGACCTTTAGCAATATTTTAATCAGTTATGAACAATATGCCTGTCTCTCACAGTATATCCCAGCTGATTCAGTCTGGCATGCTCTGACTGAACATGCTCTGGGTTCCATCTTTCAGTCCCTGGAAGTGTGCCTTTTCTGTAGCAGTGCCTGTGCTCTGGGATGTGGTTCTCCCGAGATCTAATGGGTCCAAATGTGTGGCTTTTCACTGAGGCCTTCACTGAGTGCAATTGACACCCCTTTTCTTTGCTTTCATCCAAAATTGGGTTGTTACTTGTTTTAAAATGTTTTGAACAATTTGTAAACCATCCAGAGTGGCTGGGAGTCAGGTGGCATGTAAATGTATTTTATTATTATAACAAATGCACAGAAAAGTGAAATACCTTAGCCGTTCATCTTATGTGAAGTTGAAAACATGTTGTCAGCCCTGGATCCATCTTGATTCAGATGTAGGGCTGCCACAGTGGGGGATGGACACGCTGTGGGAATGGAAGAATAGTGAAAAGAGAAGATAGCCACAACAACATTCTTTTGGCAGAGCTCAAGGCTGAGTCGCTGGAGCTTAGAAGGGAGTGACTGGACTTGGCGGGAGTTCAGAACTGAGGTGGATTGGAGAGTGTAACTTGAGGGCCATCAGTAGGGGCAGGATGTGAGTTTTAGTGTGTGTGTGTGGAAATACGGGAATTCAGATTTGGGTTTCCCCCCAGATGTGCCAATATGACTTCTCTAATAAATTCTTACTTGGATGGACTTTGTCTCTGAGTGCTGAATTCGGGATGGAGGGTTGGAACTCTCACATCTGTATTACAAGAACCTCAGGATTCAGAACTTTCCAGTCTCTAAAGTGGGAGGGGTAGACATTTAATGGCAGTCTGTTGTTAATATGATTTCCTTCCTGTTGCCTGAAGCAAGTACATTAATTTAAGAAAGGATAAAACTTACTTAGGTATACATATAAGAACCAAGCAAGTTTTATTTTATATGTTTCAACAGAGCCACTACACTTACTCTGTCCAACATTTTCTTCTTTGGGACTTCTTACAATCTCAACATATTCCACAGGAGTTTCAAACATATTCAAATACCCTGATATCACTCAGCCAGGCAAGCAGGAAGCCCGCAGCAATGAATACCAAGCTGGTTATGCTTTCATAGTTCATGGTGAAGAATAAATTAGTAGTGAATGAACAATGGTACTTTTCATCATTCTATGCCTTTTTTATTTCAGAAAAATAGTTGTATCACAGATTGCTTTCATAAATGCTCTTTAACAATAACAAAAAAATCATAAACAAATTGGATTTTCCAATGGTGGGAATAAAATGTTGAGGAAAAAAAATCCCCCAAAATTGTCCCTTCCCTTCCTGCAAACCAGGAGGCAACAAGATTAAATTTAAATATGCAAGATTAGGCTTAGATTTGGTCCATAATTAGAATTACTAACGGGGAAAAACCCAGCCAAGTATACTTCTAATATAACATTTTCTGCTCTGTACTGTCATTTGTAGAACAATTATAATACTTAATTTCTGAAGAAGGTCAGCAAAACAAAGCCCTTAGAAACAACCCTGATGTAGCTGTGGTTTCAGGATAATAAAGATTTTTTCTTCTGGAAGACACAAAAGAATGTATAGAGGTAAACGGTTTTCCACTTAATAGTATCAGAAACAGAACAAAATGTTAATTTCAACCAAACTGACAGCAAATTATCTGCAACCTTCACAATGCATTTTACATAACATGTACAATTTATTTAAAAAAACAAAGTCTAAAAAATATAAAAATTGTATGGGTAGGACATTTAACTATTTTGCTAGCTGCTTTATCCCAAGGATACTTCAAAGAAAAGCAAACCATATGCTATTTCCAAAATCACAAAGATTTACTGCTTACTGAGCTTTGGAACACTTAGACTGATCTCAATATTATGCTACATATCTGTTGATCCATCTAGGCCAGGGACAGGCAAATTCGTGCCCATTGCAACTTCTTGAACCCCATCATGCTCTCCGTTCTAACTTTTTAAAAACAGTTTCAATCTTAAAAAAGTAACATTGGGAAGGTGGCATACTTTAAAGTAAAGCACCAGCCTCTAACATTATTTGCAACCCTGAGGTCCCATTGGGGTAACAAATAATGTCTTGGGGCTAGTACACTATTTGGTAAATGGGTATTTTGTGACTGACCATATCTAACCTGACGCTCATTCTGCAAGCATACGTTCTCAAAATTTCAAACATACTTTGACCCAAAACATTTGCTTACCCTTGACCTAGAATAAGAAAGAAAGGAAAGGCACTATGAGGTTCTCTGCACTTAATCCTGTGTTATAGGAAGAACAAGTCCCAGAGTTAATGATGTTGCTCCCAACCCAAACAAATATAATTACAGTATGGAGAACTATTTTTTCCATTTCTTTCCCTCAAGATAAGATCACTCACAACAGATCTTAAATCGATACAACCTTTTTTAATTGAGTAGTGGGAGAAACAGAGTATAGAGGAACCAAGTAAGTTAAGATTCAGGCTGTTATTATTTAACTTAGAGTGAGACTAGGCTTACTCATACAAAGGCACCCTTAGGTTAAAATCCCATTTGTGTTGGTGGGTGCTCTCTCTTTAAATCCACACACAATATCTACCGAGACAGCAATCTGAAGCAGACCATTAGTGCTGGAGAAGAAAGGTAACTCCCCTTAAGTTATTTTCACTTTTACTGTAACACCAACATCTTTTATTTTGAGAATGAAAGCACCCAAAAGTAGAAGGTAATTCTCCATAAAAAGTGGCACAAACTGGTGATGCCTTATGTATGCGTAACTTCTGCTTAGAAGTGCAGTTTCAATGACGGCATAGTGTTTTTAAAGGCCCCATTCCTAAATAATTAAAAAACTAAGCATAACATCTAATTCTAGCAACAGATGCTAGGAAAGACGTTCAAAAAGTTTTAGAAATACAATGACACATCCAAAATTAAAACCAAGAGCATCTAGTCTGCTATGGAAATGTTTGTGATATTATGGATTGTTCCGTATTAACAAAAGAGATTTTTGCAGCTAGAATAATTCCAACAATTACACTCATCAAGTAACTACTTATGGTCAAAAAGGCATAGAAACTGAAGCAAAGCATCCAGCAAAAGCTGCCCCCTTTTTGAATAGCTAAACTAGTGCATACAGTATAAATGAACTACAACAATACATATACAAAGAAAAACCAATATGAAAGATAAAAAGGTTGGAAAGGCTAAGTGATAGTAAGGCACTTGTACAAAATTGTACTACAATTGAAAACCTGGTGCTGGATGAAAGGAGTTGGGATTAACTGGGTCAGGGTAAGGCCTATTTGGAGGCTTCTCTGAAGCTTTCTAGAACCAGCTCTTTGCAAAACCTAAAGTCTTTTGACTGAGCTTGGTGCAAAGTCAGAAAGCTCCATTTAACTAAGATTAGAATTAACAATAAGCATAAGGAATTCCAATTTAGAATACCAATGTAAAGAATTGGTGTAAAAGAAAGCCTACAAATTGCACATATATTGCGTGGCCCTCAAAGCACTCCCCAAAAGATGCAAGTAAAATATTTGGCTAGATTTTTTTTTTTTTTTGCATTTTGGTAGCTCTGGGGAGAGTTCCAGAGACTCAAAACATTTAAAAATCAGGGCAATTTTATTACACCCACTGTGCAAGATGATCATCAACATGCCATAAGGGCCAAGAGTGGTTCTTCTGGTGGTAGAAGCTATACCTATCTGCTTTGCAATAGTGTTGGGCTTTCTGTTAGGTGCAAGCAATATAGCTATCACATTCACATATGTGTATAGGTTGGCCCACCATATCTGACCTACTTAGCACCATCACTGACCCAGTTTACTCCTTCACTCCTGTTTAAAAATGATACAGATGAGGTATATTTAGAACCCAATAAGAGCTAAGGAGTGACAGGCACAATATGGTATAGTTGATTTCAGCTCAGAAGGGCTCTGATCTGAACATTTCAAGATTTTGGTGGGAAGAAAAAAAAAAAAACAGCTCTCTGTACAGTCTCAAGTAGTGCCAAGCAGCATTAAAGTCCATTGCAAGAGAAGGAAAAAACAAGACATATCATTCTTCAGAGATACAAATATTGTAAGCAGTTTATAGAGTCTTCTTCACCTCTTAAACTCCCCCCAAATTTTACAGCTAATCTATATCCTTGACTCATGAAACTTATCACTACTCACTAATCGTGCACTGCTGTCTGCTAAGACTGCAGCAATCCCTCTTAACAGTTGATCTAAATGCAAACCAGACATGATCTGGCAGGATGAAACTCATGGCTATTGTATTTGGTTTGGCAGGTCTTCACTTACTCAGACCTACTTTAGACACAATAAAAGCATTCACAAAAAGGAGCAGTTGGGTCAAATCCTGGGACACCCAACTACTATGTACATATTCTATTGATTTCATTCAATCTATTAATGAAATAGATATTTCTATTCCAAATTATGGCAAAAGAGAATAGAAATCAAAAAGTTTCTTCTTTGTATTATCTGAAAAGCAGTACAACACTGTAAGATGATCCAGTTACACTACGACTTAAAACAAGACATAGTCATAAAGCAATTCTGCTGAATAAAGTATGCTTAAGCATACACAAAGGAGAACAGAAGACACTTTTCATTAAAACATTAAAGATGTACAAAGTAACTCTAAAAATTTTGTGTGAACAACCCCAATATTTTTGTAGGTGCCAAATCAACTTAACTAAAAGAAATGTAGGAATGGGTGGCTTCCGAGGTAGATTTTTCACTTTTTAATATCATCCACCAGCTTTACAAATTGTGCTCTCCCCTTTTGGAGACATTATTCCTTCTGTCCCCTCCCCTATCTTTCATAATTGAACCTGCTAAGGAACTGGGAACTAAATTGCCTTCAATCTGAATAAAAACAATCTCCATAGTTTTAGAAATAAGAACACCAGGGCAGGCATGAAATCAGAACCTATTAGATGTAACTTAGAAAAAGAGGCGCTTGGGAAAACACATGGCAGGTTGCAATTCTATACCACAGTGAAATGGAGTTAACCTCTCTGAATTTGCTGCAATTTACTTCTGAGAAAATATGCATAGGAGTACATTTCAAAGACCAAATATTACTATTCTATTGTGTTAAACATGAATGACTCAAACAACAAGGCTATACTAGCACTTCCTGA